GATGAATATAAATTTTCCAAGGTTCTGTTCTTTTGCTTAAAAGCTCAAATTTCAGCATTACAACAAATACTGTTGGTTGTTTTCCTTGACAAAAAACTCATCTAGTTAATTCTTGAGGAGATGTCTGCCAAACTCAAATTTGAATAACCCTAGTATGTCTGCTATTCTTTCAAGTAAAAGATGTTGGTCTATGAAAAAGTCCACTACTCCGACCCTGGAGAACAACTGGAGCTCAGAGGCAGCTCCTCAAGTCTGCAATAAAAATGGCCTCCAATAAATCTGCATTGGAAAAAGTGGGAAAGAAACAGAATGGAAAGGGTAAAAAGGTTGAAGAGGCAGAGGCTGAAAAAAAGGTACTGGATCAACACATAGTAAATGGGAAGGTGGAGTATTTCCTGAAGTGGAAGGGATCTATAGATGTTGAGATTCCTTGAGAACCTGAAGAAAGTTTAGATTGTCCATAGTTAAATGAAACATTACTTAATTCTTTAAAAGCTGGTAAAGAAAAAGATGGTTCAAAAGGGAAATCTCTACCTGATAATGAATCACATGATAGCAAATCAAAGAAGAAAAGAGGTGCTGCTGACAAACCAAGAGGCTTCGCCAGAGGTCTTGATCCTGAAAGAATAATTGGTGTTCCCGACAGCAGTGGGAATTGATGTTTCTTATGAAGTGCTAAGATTCAGATCAGGCAGATTTCATGCTGGCAAAAAACAGAGACTAACTTGGCATTTTTGTGTGGAAAATGAAGCTCAATAATTGTTTGCATTGCTTTCTGTCTCTCTGCCCCACCCCCACCCCCCGCTTTCTGTCTTTCTCTATACATGGTTGAGAGATGTTGGCAGTTTTAGACCTCCTGACATAAATAGGTGAACAAACTTTGTAATCTAAACTATTGACCTACATTCTTTTCCTTACCCCAACTCATTCCTTATGTGTAGATCCAAACTTTTCAGTATTTATGTTACCGGTTGAGCAGAAGCCATAAAAAATAAATAAATAAATAAATAAGAACAGAAACCAAAAAAACAAAAAAGCTTCATGGTAATCAGAATGTACACTGTTTACTGTCAATGATGGTGAACAGTGGTCCAATAGTTTTACATTCCAAAATAAAAAGGAAAGAAAAAGAAAAAGTCTGCTACTTCAATTTGTGACTCTGTCACACAAAGCTCTTAAGAGACTGTATGTAGTTCCAAATATAGCAAGACTGTATATTCACATTACACTTACTATTCCCATCTCTTGACTAGTCCTATTCTATGCATTATGTTATTAGAATGGTTGTCTTGTTGCCTTTGTAAAATCTTTGACTGCAGATACCATGTCTTTATCTTCCTTGCACCTTTCATAGTGGTAATTGCTGTTATCGAATGAATAAATATATTATTGCTCTAAATAGATTGTAAGCACCTTGAAAACAGGGACTTGATGTTATTCTTCTTTGAATCATCAGCACCTGAGATGAGGTGTTGAGCACAACACACACACTCTTATAAACTCATAGCCACCAAAGAGAACTTCATGGGACGGGGGTGGTGTCAGAGAACAGGGCTGGAGACTGCAGCATGTTGCTGGGAAGTTTTCCCTTCCACAAGGTGTATTGATGACACTGAACTCTCAACAGATCAGTTGCAAGAAAATCACCATTCAATTATTCTCAGCTTTACATCACCATTCTGGAATAATTGTGATCACAATCTATCTTCTTTCATTACAATGAATGTTTATTACCAATAGGATCTTCTAGTTCTAGAAACAAACTCAGTAATAGCAGAGCCATTTGCAATCTGAAGGAAAAAGTACAGTCAGTGCCTGGGTGTCCCTGAAAAATCTTCAAGTCTCCAGCTCACCAAGGTCCCAGAAAACTCACTTGCTTTCAGAAGTTCAACCAAAAATATTTGCTTTTAGCATTTAGCACATAGGTGAGAAATATATGTTACTATTTTCACTATGACAAAGGATGCTGGCATACAGTTTAAATTCCATGAACACCATGATAGGCAAAATTGGCTCTTATCCCCTGCTTGTGAAAGAAGTTAATTAAAGAATCAAGTTTTTGTTAATATTGCTTGAGACCACTGACAGCCTAATGTCATCAGTTTTCTATTTTGAAAATCACAGATTTAAACATATCCAATTATAAGTGGCAAATTTTCATTATATGAAGGTTAAGTTATATATTTCTTTATACAATAGTTATGCTCAAAAGTATCTTCAACATAATTATGAAATTTGTATCAAACTATCCTTAAAAAGCATCTACCATTACTCTACTACAAAGAATATCTTTCAATATTAAATGCTTTTTTCTTCCTGAAAGACTGATATTACCCTTTGCATTTTCATAGCAGCTTTATTGAGGTATATAATTTACCTGCCACAAAATTCGCCATCTGAATAATCCACTGGTTTTTAGTATATTTACAGAGTTGTCTAACCATCACTGTTATTGAGTTTTAGAGCACTTTTTATCACTAAAGGAAACTTTATACTCATTACCAGTCACTCCCCCTTCCAATCCCTGACAACCAAATAATCTACTTCTATCTTTATGCATTTGTCTATTTTGGACATTTCATATAAATGAGTTCATATGATATGTGGTATTTGGGGGCTAGCTTATTTTACTTAGCATAATGTTTTCAAGGTTCATCCATGGTGTAATATGTATCAGTACTTCATTCCTTTTTATGGCCAAGTAATATTCTATTGCTCAGATATATCAAATTTTATTTATTTATCAGTTGATGCGATATTTGGGTGTTTTCACTTTTTGGCTACTAAGAATAATGCTTCTAGTGACATTATATACCATTTTATGTGGAATTATTTTCAATTCCTTAAATATAAATGTATACCTAGGTGTGGATTAAGAACACTTTAAATAGATAAATAAAACTTTAAAGACTAAATTGGTATAAGGATAAGGATAATATCTATCTATCCTTATACTAAATTGGTATAAGGATAATAAAATCTTTGAATAAGTTCAAAGTGATTTTATTCACTGATCTGTTGGCTCCCAAGACTAAAGGAACATTAATTAGAAGGGAAAAATGGGCTCGGCGCCTATAGCTCAACCGGCTAAGGCACCAGCCATGTACACCTAAGGTGGCGGGTTTGAATCCCCAGCCCGGACCCGCCAAACAACAATGACGGCTGCAACCAAAAAATAGCCGGGCGTTGT